GCCGGAGCGGTCATCTTCAAGGCACAAGAATGACTTTAAAGGAGGCAAGTCGTCCGTCCGCTTCGCAGGCAAGCGCACCATCTTTGGATCTTTGACACACTCCCGCGCAATGGCCATGACATAAACCCTTCTGCGTCGCTGTGGAAGCCCGTGCTCCATCGTGTTGAGGATCCCCCATGCGGTGCAGTAATTCAATGACTCCAAGACTTTCAGGAGGAACCCCCACATCTTCTTGTGTTTGTCCTCAAGAATTCCGGGCACCTGCTCTAGAATCGCCGTTCTAGGCCGTTTGGCCGCCAGGTACTGTAGGCCTTTCAGCAGCACGAGCCCGCGCTCATCATTCAGCCCGGCCTTCAGGCCGGCTTTTGACCAACTGGGGCACGGGTAGCCAGCTGTGAACACATCACAGGCTGGTGCTTCCATGTCCTCTCTCTGCATGATGTCGGCATACAAGCTCGCCTTCTTCACGGAAATACTGCACGCTTTGGCCACTGCAGCGTGCAAGATCTGTTTTGTCTTGTCCTTCTCGGAAAGCATGGTCACCTCGACGGACTCACGAAGACCCAATTGCGTGAAAGCAATGAGCTCGCTTCCGTAGCCGGCACAATCGGCCCCGATTCGGATCTTGTGGCCTTTCGCCAAAGTCTCGCTGTGACGAGGAAGGCGCTGGCTCCATGTATTTGCAAGCTTCACGATCTCCTTTTTCATGGTGTGGATCCTTTCTTTCAATGTCAATGCTCTCGAAGAAATCTTGGAGTCGTCGCTGCCAATCGACGGACCCGCCGAGATTCTCTTGGAGTCGTCGCTGCCAATCGACGGACCCGCCGAGATTCTCTTAGCAGCTTGCCGAGCAAAACGCTGCTTCTTCGGACTCGCAGTGGACTGCTTCTGTGTCTTCGGAGTCGCAGTGGACTTCTTCGTCATCTCAAACTTGCGTTTCAATGCCATGGCAGGCCGGTCAGGATTGCCAGCTAACTGGCGAAGTGGCACTGTGTCGCCAGTAGCAGCTTCTCACGATTAACCACTTGTTATTATTGCAATGTGAAATGGTACTTGCAACGATGGCTTGTGGCCAACAGGCGGCATGTTCCGCGTGTCATTGCTCTGTCAGACACTTGCAAAGATGGCTTCGGACAGCCAACATGTTCCAGGCGTTATTGCAACAATCGTCGACAATCAACTGGCATGTTCCATGTGCCAATGCACTCTCAGATAAACGATGTTAATAACCGGCCTCTACTCAGTCACGCCACCGCCACTGGCCCATTCACCTGCAACAAGGACTGCATGGCTACTACAAGTACTACTGTCAGCATGCACACAGACAATTCATTCCAGTAAACACAGTGTGCTGGTTTGATCTCGCTGAGGTGACAGCTCGCTCCACCCATTTAATTTTCTAGCAGCACGCATGCATACTGGTTCACACAGCAGCGATGCGAGCGCTTTGCGTAGGCTTCACATACTTCTCTGCAAGCCACCGCACAAACCCCTTTGCATCCAAGCATGTGGTGCGGTTGGCCAGGTTATCAGGCTTTTTCTCCTTCCCGGCCATCAAAAGTAAAACCGCATCACATCCTCTGGACACGAGCCCCCTTAAAGTCACTTCACACCATCCATTCGAGCAGGCATACTGAACACACATACTCAGGCTAACATGCTCCTTCTTGAACTTGTCCGTCATGTGCACAGCAACAGCGTCATCCAATGCTCGGCGGTACTGCATCCGGAAACCCAGTTTTCCGTCCAGGATGGACGCGGACAGAAGAACACCCCCCCTCAATGCAGCCAAGACCTGCTGCTTCCGCGGAATGTTTGTGGAGTCGTCGACAAGGATCAGGTTGGCTTGTCTCAAGTCCTGCAAATATGTGTCGTTTTCTGAAAGGGCACGTGTGTGTCTAGGTGGCTTCGGCAGAACGCTTGCCTCTTAAGCTTATGATGTTGTTTTGGTCTAGCCTGCCTCGGTGAACGCATCCACCCCCAATGCAGCCAGCTGAAACTTCCATGTGGTGTTGTCCCGCCCAAGCAGCGCCGGACCTGGTGGCAGGCCTTGAAGTGCCCAATCATGTGACTTGGTGACGGTTGCCATGCCAAGCAATGCTGTTTTCTGGGTCATCTCCGAGGCTCGCTTGCGGTCATTGGCGGCATTTTTCTGGAGTCGGTCTTTGACGTCGGCAGCCATCGTGCAAGTCACTTCTGATGGCAGCAAATACCCATCCAAGTAGGCATCCGCTTTGCGTACCTTTGCCAGCTGACGTTGCCGATTCACTTCCTTTTCCAGACTCTCTGGCAGCTCACGTTTGGTGCGCTTTGCCGGGGTGGCCAGGCCATCGGCCGCCTCCTGGACGGCAGCCGACCTCTTTCTCAGCCATTCCGCCTCGGAGCCCTCTGAAATCTTCTTTGCGACACCCTTGTCAAAGCGAATCTTCGTGATCTTTCTTGCTGGCTTCTGTGACTGAGTCGTCGAAGCGTAGATGCGGCGGGCTGATTCAACCAAGGCATCCTGTCGTGCAGGATTCTTGTGGAGGTCGCGACAGCCCATCACTGTAGCGAGCCGTCGGTCAGTGTCAATGCGAGCGCTGGCCAGTTCCGCAGGGCTTCTTTTCAGAACGGAAAAAGACTGCTCCACCCCACTAGTCGAGCAACTCCAGGCGACATACGCTGCCAGGACCTCACCGCTGCCACACTAGGGAGAGGGCAAACGACGAAGGAACCCTACTGTTGCAATTAAACCCTGATTCGCGCATATTCTTCAGATTCACCACTACTCACTGTCACTGGGTGAAGGATCATGCAATCAATGGTATCATCCTGGGTCAGGGACGGTCCGCAAGGCTGTCACCTGGTAGGCCTTCTTGCCCTGTGTTCGCTCTAAAGCTTGCCGCCATGCGGACCTGTTGTCGAGACTGCTTTGCTCCATCAACCCGCAAGCGATGGGCAACAGGTTGGAGTACTCGCTCTCAAGGTCACTTGCATTCACCCCGAATGCCTGACTCAACTTGGCCAGATGCTGCTTCACTGCAGCTGATCGCAATTGCAGGCGAGCGTTGACACCCTGCAGGTTGAAGCACTCGAAGCAGGCAAAGAGATGCCAAGAAGGGAACTCAGCTTTGAGCACTGCCTCCGTAGCAGATGTCCAATCCTTTCTGACACGCACACTGTCCCTCATTAGACAGAAAATCAACTGCGGCCTCTTTTATAAACACGATTCCAACATACACCCTGAACTCCACATGTCCTTCAAGACGTCAAGAGCCCATGTGCGACAAGCCGACGTCAATCGGAGCTTTCGGGCAGTGCCACCATGCATGACGACAATGGCCGATCCTGTCAAAACCTCCACGCAAGTCTTAGCACACGTGGGCAATGTCCAGACTTGGCCGTCAATGAACTGTGCATGCACTTGGCGCACAAAGAAGCCTGCTCGCGAGTTGAGCTCTGCAATGTCGACAGACTCGTCGTCCGCAAAGCGTGTGAAGTCCAGAACCGTTGTTGCCGCATCTGCTGCGAGGGCAAGTAACAGAAGCTTTCGAGCTGTAAGGCCTTGAAGGATTCTAAAAGCCCAGCCGTTGTCGTCGTCGTCGCCACTACCACGCATCGCGGCAACCTTATGGAGCAAGGCCACCATGGCTTTCAGGTTGCGTACGATCCTTACCAGGGGTCGCGCGTAACTGCCGAAGCGGTGCTTGGCAGCGGAAATTGATGCAGCGGCAGCTCTGCCACAGGCCTCGGCAAAACCAAGATTCTCATCGTTGTTGCCGTCTTGGTCGGCATGCAATCGCACCTTCTCTTGCCACCACTGCGCTAGAAGAGGGGAGTTCTGAATCTTCTGGGCAAAGGAGTGCTTCCCCGTGATGAACTCTGTCATGACCTGGCGGATCTCGGGGTGATTTTCAAACGGCTTTTTGAGAAGCCTTGTGGTGGCATGAGCTGCATCTCTGCCTACCAGGCGGACGCCCGGCAATGCAGGCTCAACGACATCACCCTCAGTTGCAATGGCACGCCGTCCCCTGAGTTGCTCTGACGCCAAAAGTTCAGACGGGGCGGCGTCTGTTACAAGGATATTCGTCTTCTGGCGGATTCTGCACTCACAGCTGCTGTCACGAGGCGGAGTGTCGATTGCTGAACTGCGGGGCAGCTCAGTGAAAGGTTGGCAAAAAGTCCGAATGGCTCTCTGCGTCCCCTCGGAAACACCCTCCGCTGTGCCATCGACGGGAAGGTAGCCGATCACTCCACTCAAGGTCTGGAGGTTGGCTTGCGAAGCCCTGAAACGAAGCAGCAGCCTGCCCTTCCTTTCATCGCAGAGCAATGCTATCGAGGCTGCTTCTGAAAGGAATGCACGCGCTTCCATCAGCACAGCCTCCGCGATACAATACCGCATTCGGGACTTCTTATCCGAGGCGACACCGTTCTGTCGGGCGGAACCACCGCGCCACATACTCATCAAAGCTTCTCGGAATTCCGAGGCCGTGGGCGCGCACAGAAGTCCTTTCTTGTGCTTGGAAGACTCTGCTGCCTGCAGGTGCCCTTTCGAAGTCGCATGTCTGTTGACAAACTGCCATCTCAAAGCTCTTGGTTTCATCTCAAAATTTGCCCAGGGCCCTGAAAACCTCGCCTTGCAACAGACGCTGCAGCCCACTCGAGCTCGACGCGTTGCCGTGTAGGCCAGCTTCAACCGCCCAGCATTTGCTTTGGTTCGCCAGGGTGCAGTGGCCCAAGCGCATAGTCCGCACGACGCGGGCCCTTTCTTGCACTGCCGGACATGCTCCTTCACCTGGGCATTCTTGAAGATGGCCACCGGAACACCCTCAGGCCTGGAGCGTGGATGGCTGTTGTTGCCGTCTCGTGCATTCCCCATGGCAAAATGCCTTTGAAATTAAGGCCCTTAGGCTACTCTTCCACTCATTTCAGAACACATATAACATCTGGAACTTCATTTTAAGACAGCGCTTCAGAGAGAAACGTGAATAGGGAGTCATAACGTAAAGGACAGCCTTGCTTGGACCAGCTTGGCCCAGCAGATTAACACGTCGATGCCAGGAAGGGCATGCAATGCAGCAGCAGCAGAACTCACATCCGTAGCGCCACAGTTTGCACTACTTGACTAGTACCATCCTGCCTCAGGCTGACTCCAGCGGCAGCCGAGTCGACCAAAGCCAGGACGAACGCCTCACATCTTTCAGGGTCTCACTCGGGGTCCGTTCATTATCACAAATTTAAATCCAAGCGAAGTCTTCTAGAGTCCAGTCAGCACGGTACAGCGCGGCTCCGCAGTGCTTGTGACACTGTCTGATGGCACTTTTAATGCTCAAACTGCAAAGCCAGCAAGCCGGACATGAGCCTTGACCTGGGCGTTGTTGAAAAAGGGACAAAGAGGGAAAACAAAAATAGAAAGTCATTACGCGTTAATTCGACGGACAACCTTGCTTGGACCTTCGCACTAGCTACCATCCCGCCTCAGGCTGATTCCAACGGAAGCCGAGTCCCCAAAAGCCAGGACGAACGCCTCACATCGTTATCAGGGTCTCTGTCGGGGTCCGTTCATTCTGCGAAGTCTTGTAAGAGCGGACTCAGCACTCTGCAGTGCTAGATACTGACTGCTGGCACTTTGACAGCGCTCACAGTAGACTGCAGACAGCTTTTGGTCGGACACTGCTCTCATTGTCACTGTCATACAAACGGCTTCCCAGCACTGCTTTTCATCCAGTTGCCAGACACTCCTGTTCCTGATTGCGCAGATCGTTAATCACTCTGTGTCTCGAGCAGTGGGAGCGAATTTGATGTCGATTGTAATCTTGCTTTTATGCAATGATGATTAGATCCACGGCTTCCTCTCCTCATCTTTCTCTTCAAGTTCTGCGAAATACCAGTACCATTCTTTCGCAATTCTTGCAGAGCACCATAGACTCCATCCAACATTAGCCTTATAAATGCCAGGCTTGCCCTTTAACGGACCAAAGTAAACCAACCCTTCGCCGTTGCAAATCCCAGGATCTGACTGGGGGGCTCCAATGAATTACACCTGTGTCCGTGGAAACTAATACATCTTACCTTGCTCGGAGCATGTGCGTGCTTTAGCCCTCCATTAGCCGTCGATGGTGGAAACTACATCTTACCATGCTTGCTCGGAGCATGTGCTTTCCTTTAGCCGTCGATGGTTGAAAGATCTGCGGCTGCAGGGACTCGACTACATTCGACTACATTGCACTACATTGCATGAGTCTGATCTCTCCTTCGGGGAGTCCACCTTTCCGGCGGGAAAGGTGGACTCCCCGAACCACGCCAAAAACCGCCAAAAGCCCAGGCCAAAGCCAAACCAAAAAAAAAAGGAAACCCTGTGGTACTCGGGCCCCCACGCCAGACAATCTCTGACTCTGCCAGTCTCTGTCCTGGATTCCAGGACTCGGGTGTAGTACACCGTCCTGGCTTCCAGGACTATTCAAGGCAACGTCAAATCAAGGACGCAACGGCACCCAGCATCTACAAGGCAACGTCCAATCAAGGACGCAACGGCACCCAGCATCTACGTATCCAAGACCCAAACATCCGAAGTATCCAAGACCCAAACATCCGAAGGATCAGGAAGTCTAGGCTCAGAGTCCTCCTCAGCATCCGCTCACGAGAGCCAGAAGGATGTGGCGAGACCTGACCAGAGCGAGGATAGGGATGGAGGATAGGGATGGTTAGGGCGGGGCGGTTAGGGTAAGGCCACGACCACACCTAGCAGAAGCAACCCAGCCCACGGAAAAGAAAAAGACTCCTGGCCTCGTGCAAGGATGCATCTTGCAGTGCTGCGACCTAAGTTAAGGCAAGGCAACGCAACAGCAAGGGCACACAGCAACAACTGCAAAGGCAGGAAGGAGTTAGCAGCAGACCAATGGGGGGGGGGGACAGGAGCAGCGAGCATGCCTAGGGCCGGGCCGCCGTCGTCATCGCATGCGCAGACACCTGAGCAAAGCAACAATACCAATAAAGAGAAAAGAGACGCCCGGTGAGAGTGGAACAAGCGGTTTGGGTTTGGGCTTTGGGGCTTCAACCGGGGTTTGGGCTT